GGTAAAAACAGTGTCCAGCGAATATCCGTCTGTCTGAATGTCTAATCTATAAACACGCACACGAAAAGCTCAGCTACGCGCATTCAGCCATGGGAGTTTATTAATAAAATTCGCAAGATATATCACATGAAGAGGCAGTCTCATTCTACAATCTCGCCTCAAAAAGACAAAAATCTTCATTAGCCGGCGAACGGCAATCCTTGACTCCTTGTGCCGCCGTACGTTGTCCTCACTTAGCCGGAGGTACTATCATTTGCCACCGTTTTTCCAGTTCCTTGCAATATATAGCCGGAGGATGATGTTTTCTGAAATTCTTGTGTGAGGCGCTTATTTCAACTGATAATTGTTCTAGGTGAGTTTCCTTTTCTTTTATTGTTATTATTTTTTGTTTAATCTTAAATTGGTGTTCTCGATATCTGCAAAATCCTAGTAAGATCTGGTGATTTAGGGTAAAAATCAGAGACCTCCTCGCTTTAATGTAATGTGGATTGTGTCAGTTAATTACCTTAACCTCAATTTCAATTTGAATGAACTGTCTGGTCTGACTTCACTTTGACTGCAGAACTATAATGTAAGTGTGTTGGGTGAAAATCAGAGACCTCATCTCTGTATAACCTACTCAATTTCGATTTGAATGAATTGTCTGACTTCACTTTGACTACAGAATTATAATGTGTATTGACTGAAACCAATCCCATTATTGCAATAATTTCGATTTCAATGAATTGTCTGACTTCACTTTGACTACAGAACTATAATGTGTATCGATTGAAATTTGATAAGGCTATGTTGTTGTTGTTGTTGTTGTTGTTATATTGAAAGTTGAAACCAATCCCATTATTGCATTGAATCATGGCCCATCAAATCCGTGATGTTGAAATTTTGAAAAAAAAAAAAAGGTTGCTATCTTTATATACACACTTATCAAATTCCTCTGACTTTTGCTCTTATATGTTTCAATTATCCAATCCCAACAGTTGCTAGTGTAGTTCAGTTCCCTTGCCTTGCCTTGCCTTGCCCACATCCAGAAATGGCCTCCAAATCATTTAAAGCCACGTCATCAAACCTCTCCATGTCATCCGACACGGGCCCAGAGGGCATCCCGGGTGGCGGCAAACCACCCCTCCCCCCACACGTCACCTTCGCCCGACGGACCCCTTCCGGCCGCTACATCAGCTACTCACGTGATGACCTGGACAGCGAACTCAGCTCCTCCGATTACCTCAACTACACAGTCCACATTCCCCCAACACCTGACAATCAGCCCAACAACAACATAAACGATCCGGTGGCCCAACGGGTCGAGGAGCAATACGTCTCATCCTCTCTCTTCACGGGCGGGTTCAACTCCACGACCCGGGCCCACCTCATGGACCGGGTCATAGACTCCGAATCTCCCCTCCACCCTCAGATGGCCGGGGTCAAAGGCTCGTCGTGCTCGGTCAATGGCTGTGATGGAAAGGTGATGAGCGACGAGCGGGGGAACGATATCCTCCCCTGCGAGTGTGATTTCAAAATCTGTCGGGATTGCTATTTGGATGTTTTGAAAACCGGAGAAGGGATTTGCCCCGGGTGTAAGGAGGAGTACAAGACGACCGACCTGAATGAGGTCATGGACGGGTGGGCCGGGTCGTTGCCCCAGCTTCCGGGCCCGCAAGGGGGTTCGTCGAGGGTGGTCGAGAGGAGGCTGTCGATTATGAGGTCGACTAAGTCGGGGCTGATGAGGAGTGGAACGGGGGTTGACTTTGACCATAACAGGTGGCTTTTCGAGACTAAGGGGACGTATGGTTATGGGAATGCCATCTGGCCCAAGGAGAAGGGTGATGTGGACAATGATGAGAATGGTGGTGGTCGTGTTGATGATGAGGCGCCGGGTTTGATCAGCAAGCCGTGGAGGCCGCTCACTCGGAAGCTGAAGATTCCGGCTGCCATCATCAGTCCTTACAGGTACAGTATAAAAAAATGTTTGAATTTTTCGTTTGGGTTTAGCTATGAAAACTGTCCTGAATGTTTGGAGTAGTTATAATAGAAGCCCGGAATTATTTTTCAAACTCATTGAGATTTGATTCATTCTTGAAAACATGAACTGGATTTTGATTTTTCTGCTTGTGGAACTGAATAAAATCTGACATCATGGGTGGTTTTAGTAATTGTCCCTTAGAACACAATAAAGAGGGGTAAATGAATGTAGGACACTATAGAGGAACCTTTTTGTAATTCTTTGGACCTTCTTGTAAATACCTAAAACATCATGGGTGATTTTAGTAATAATTCCTCATAAAAAAAATAAAAATATTGAAACCTCCTTGTGCTATAGTAAATTCAACAAACACATCAGGCTAGTTTATTCCTATCCTACCTTTGTAGGACATAGACATATTGAATGATGAGTACAAATTTTGAAACTCTTGTGGCCTGCAGGCTTCTAATCTTGGTCCGAATGATCGTCCTCGGCCTCTTCCTCACGTGGCGAATCCAGCACCCGAACAACGACGCCGTTTGGCTGTGGGGAATGTCAGTTGTCTGCGAAATTTGGTTCACATTCTCTTGGATTCTCGACCAGCTCCCTAAACTCTGCCCCGTGAACCGAGCCACCGACCTCAACGTGCTCAAGGAAAAATTCGAGACCCCAAGCCTTAACAACCCCACCGGAAAATCGGACCTTCCCGGCATAGACATCTTCGTCTCGACAGCCGATCCCGACAAGGAGCCGCCACTTGTCACTGCAAACACTATATTGTCCATACTGGCGGCCGATTATCCAGTCGAGAAGTTAGCTTGTTATGTTTCGGATGATGGAGGGGCACTTTTGACATTTGAGGCCATGGCCGAAGCCGCCAGCTTCGCGAACCTATGGGTCCCGTTTTGCCGTAAGCACAGCATCGAGCCGAGGAATCCTGAGAGCTACTTTAATTTGAAGAAGGATCCTTACAAGAACAAGGTGCTTAAGGATTTCGTGAAGGACAGGAGACGCGTGAAGCGAGAGTATGACGAGTTTAAGGTTCGGATTAATGGGCTGCCCGAGTCTATTAGGCGGCGGTCTGATGCGTACCATGCTCGGGAGGAACTCAGGGCCATGAAGGAACAGAGGAGACAGATAAAGGAAGACGAGCCGGTTGAGGTCGTGAAGATTAAGAAGGCGACTTGGATGGCCGACGGGACACATTGGCCCGGGACTTGGTTGAGTCCTTCGGCCGATCACTCGAAGGGCGATCATGCTGGAATAATTCAGGTATAATGTGTATGTTTGTGTTTGTATGTAAATACTAAATACTCTTATTCATCATATATTCATAAATCAAATGTGTGCTAAAAGGTGATGTTGAAGCCGCCAAGCGACGAGCCTCTATGTGGCTTGCCTGACGAGCCCCGTGCAATGGACCTAACGAGCATCGACATCCGACTACCAATGCTCGTGTACGTGTCCCGAGAGAAGCGCCCGGGCTACGACCACAACAAGAAGGCGGGCGCTATGAATGCCCTCGTTCGGGCCTCGGCTATCATGTCAAACGGGCCCTTCATCCTCAACCTCGACTGCGACCACTACATATACAACTCCCAAGCCATGCGCGAAGGCATGTGCTTCATGATGGACCGTGGAGGAGACCGCATTTGCTACGTCCAATTCCCCCAACGTTTCGAAGGAATCGACCCTTCCGACCGATACGCTAACCGCAACACCGTCTTCTTTGACGGCAACATGCGGGCCCTCGATGGGCTCCAAGGCCCGGTCTACGTGGGCACGGGCTGCCTCTTCCGCCGGGTCGCCCTCTATGGGTTCGACCCGCCCCGGTCGAAAGAACACAGCCCGGGCTTCCTGGGGATGTGTTGCTTCGGCGGAAGACGGCCCACCGGTATTCCGGAGGAGAACAAGGCTTTGAGAATGACAGGTGGCGGCGACTCAGACGACGACGAGTTTTTCTCGGGCGGACTCTCGCTCGCCCCGAAAATGTTCGGCAACTCGAACCTCCTCATCGACTCCATCCCCGTGGCTGAGTTCCAAGGCCGCCCGCTAGCCGATCATCCTTCGGTGAAAAACGGGCGCCCGCCGGGCGCGCTAACCGTCCCGCGGGACCCGCTCGACGCCTCCACCGTGGCCGAGGCTATAAGCGTCATTTCGTGCTGGTACGAGGATAAGACCGAGTGGGGCCAACGAGTCGGGTGGATTTACGGGTCGGTTACCGAAGATGTCGTCACGGGTTACAGAATGCACAACAGGGGTTGGAGGTCGGTTTACTGTGTCACCAAACGGGATGCGTTTCGAGGGACCGCGCCCATCAACCTAACCGACCGGCTCCACCAGGTTGGACTCTGCTCATTTAGTTGAAACCGACCGAATTAATTTTCGGTCAACAAAAAATTCGGTTTATCCATTATAAGAACTGAAAACCGGACCAAAATTTATAGTTCGGTTTGGTTTTTAGCCGAAAATCCAACAGTCAGTTCGGTTCGGTTATTGGTTAATTAATCTTCTCAATAAATTCCGAATTTTTTAACCGAACCAAAAGTTGGAATTTTTTTAATCCGAACCAAAAATTTAATTTTTTTATCTAATCTTCAAAATAATCTGCTCGATTAACCGAATTTTGTGCACCCCTACCACCACCACCACCAGGTGCTCCGTTGGGCCACGGGCTCGGTCGAGATCTTCTTCTCCCGAAACAACGCTTTCCTCGCCAGCTCGCGCATGAAGGTCCTCCAACGTGTCGCGTACCTAAATGTCGGGATTTACCCTTTCACCTCGGTTTTCCTAATCGTCTACTGTTTCCTTCCGGCCCTATCCTTATTTTCCGGACAGTTCATCGTTCAGACACTGAACGTCACTTTCTTGGTCTACCTCTTGACAATAACCGTCACTCTATGTGCGCTGGCTGTCCTCGAGGTCAAGTGGTCGGGAATCGAGCTCGAGGAATGGTGGAGAAACGAGCAGTTCTGGCTCATCGGTGGCACGAGCGCTCATTTAGCCGCCGTTTTTCAAGGACTGCTCAAGATCGTGGCAGGTGTCGAAATCTCCTTCACTCTGACTTCGAAATCGGGAGGCGAAGATGAAGATGATGAGTTTGCTGACCTGTACGTGGTGAAGTGGACTTCTCTCATGATACCGCCGATTGTGATTATAATGGTGAACATGATAGCGATTGCTGTGGGGCTCAGCCGAACGATATACAGCGTAATACCACAGTGGAGCCGTTTATTGGGAGGCGTTTTCTTTAGCTTTTGGGTTTTGGCACATTTGTACCCGTTTGCGAAGGGGCTAATGGGGAGAAGGGGAAGAACACCGACTATTGTGTTTGTTTGGTCGGGGCTTATTGCCATTATTATATCGCTTTTGTGGGTGGCGATTAATCCGCCGGAGGGGGCGAATCAGATCGGGGGCTCGTTTCAGTTTCCGTGATCGGGATGAAGCTATCCTTCTTAGTTTCTCTGTTAGCATGGTTTTTTCATTTTTTATTTTTTATTTTTGGATATTTTTTGTTCTAATTTTGGTGGTTTGTTGGGAAGTTAGAAGAACAGTTGCAGTTTAAGGTTTTTGGTCATGGCTAAAATGTTGGGTGGTGATATAAACACAATGACACATTCTTTGATTTGTTACAAGCGTGGAGAATTTTGTTTTTTTAGGGATGAGTTCGTTTTTGCAAGCAATAGAGTAATGGATTTTGGTGGTCTTTAGATATTGAGAAAAATGAGTTTAGCTTCTCAGTAATGTCCATACTCTATAGTCTATAGTATCATATCCTATAACTCAAGAGATTAGCATATTGGTGGAATGTGATTAACACAGACATTGTTGTTATGCAGTCAAACTATGTCTAAAACATGTAATTACTTTAACTGTAAGAGTATAACTTCTTAACCATTAGTACTCGTTCGGCTCAAACCCGACTCGGAATCGGACCGGTCAATCACATTGGCCACAGTTCGGAAATCAACCCGTGGGTTTAACTGGGCCGGTTCAGATTCATGTATGTTCACAAATTAAACCGGTGGTCGGAACCGGTTCGGCAATAGTTTTTTTAAAAAAAATAATTTTTCTATTTATTTTTAATTTATTAGTTTGGTCTAGAACCGGCCGACCATATGTGATCCAAAACCGCTGCCCGATAATTTATATGCAAACCGGTTTAGGACCCCAAAAAACCCAGTTCGAAATTGGCCCAGATCCGGCCCGAAACTGGAATTTGGCCATGACTAGATGTGTGTATCTATTTCATTAATTTATTATCTTTATTGTTTAGTAGAACACATTGCAGTACCAGCTTTGAGAGTCGAGACATTCCAATTTGCTACAGAGTAGGAGTGTAGGACCAATCTGTAATTTTCTGGACCGGTATATATAAAACCAACACCGAGAACCGCCACTCGTTTTCCCACATCACAAACCCTACATAAACTCTGAAAATCCTCTAATGGCGCCTTCACCAAACCCTCCTTTCTTGTCCTTCAAGCCACTGTTCTAAAATGTTGATGACGTTGAACTCCACACGTTTTACATCATAAGCAAATCACCTTCCATCATTTTTCCATAGCTCCATTTGCACAAGCGAACAAATGGCTAGAATGTGCGCATCAGGGATATTAGCAGCCGTAGCTTGCGCAGCTGCCGGCGTAGACCGAGCTTATGCAGACGGGCCGCTTAATTTTTCCCCTTTCTCGAACTCAGCTCCGGCGGCTTCCCAGGCGGCGCCGGAACCTCCGGCCAAGCCGCCGCCAGCTCAGCCGGCGGAGTCACGTGCTCGAAACGACACCCCTCGGACGACTTCTGCTGGGTTCGACCCTGAGGCGTTGGAGAGAGGTGCCAAGGCGTTGAGAGAGATCAGTGGCTCTTCACATGCTAAAAAGGTCGTTTCTTACTAAATTTGATTTTCCTAGGATGTAAATTATTGTGATAAGAATTTTACTTTAGTTGTGTCCATTTTGCTGGATTATAGTAGGGTCTGAGTTCACCCTTGGTTTTCGGACAATCTAGTACCTATTTGGAGGAGGTGTCGAATTTTATTGATATGTAGAAGCTGCTGGGTATTTGATGGAGGAGCAATTTTCTTGGTTTAGGTATTCGAACTGATGAAAAAGCAAGAAGAAACCAGGCTGCAAGAGCTAGAATCAAAATCGGCGGAGTTCAAGGCACTGCAAGCTCAAGCTGAAACTGTAAGCTTTGCTTTTCCTAAACCATTATTGTCCTTAGCTTTTTCTTGGTTTAAAGATAATGACAGGGTAAGTAACCTTGTTTCCATCCGAAATTGGTGTCAATGATATTATTTTTTAGTCATGGAACCAGCTTTTAGCAAGTGTATTTATCTCCACACTCTAGATGTGGTTAGGTGCCAATTTTCCTTAACTTCTGTCTTTGTTGTCTTGATTGGGGCTTTATACTGTGTATTATCAACCTGATAGGAGTCATAATTTCTTAATCTACAGAGTGAACATATGTTGAACCGATTTTAGTCTTCAATATTGTGTGTTTTCAGATCCTCAGTAATGGTTGCTGTTTGGTTACTTAAATGTGACCGTGAATATAGTAATACGAGATCACCATTGTACACCTCAAGCTCAATCTAAAATTAAGCATTAGAAGAAACACCTTAAAGGCTGAAACGGCTCTCTTAAATTGACTTTTGAGAAATCCCCTTGAAGGTGATGTGCATGTAAAAACAGTATGCTTGTCCCACTTTACGGTAATACTGAAAACATGCCGTTTTATATTTTCAGGAAAGACAAAGGGTGGTGTATGACGAACAAAAAAAGCTTGCCCAGCAACAGGCACAAGTAAAATCACAGATGGCCCGCTACGAAGATGAGTTGGCAAGGAAAAGGATGCAGGTGGGTGACCCTTTTTGTGCATATGAGGTGCAACTGGATGTTCACTGTTTATACCTAAATCTTGATTTTGGTAGGCGGAGAATGAGCACCACAGAGCAAGAAATCAAGAACTCGTTAAAATGCAAGAGGAATCGGCTATGAGGCAGGAGGCTGCCAGACAAGCGACCGAAAATCAGATTCAAGCTCAACGTCGCCAAACAGAGAGGGAGAAGGCTGAGATTGAACGCGAAACTATCAAGGTGCGGGCTATGGCCGAGGCAGAGGGACGGGCCCACGAAGCCTCACTTGCGGAGGAAGTTAATAAACGAATGTTGGTCGAGCGTGCTAATGCTGAAAGAGAGAAATGGGTTGCCGCCATCAACACAACTTTTGATCACATTGGAGGTCTCAGATTTTTTTTCTCTTGCAAAATTATTTTTATCTGTAATGTTGCATTTTTGTTTCTCTAATAAAGCGAAAGTCCACTATATCCCTCATCAATTAACTTGTTCGTAGTTCCTATTCACATATAGATTTCTAGGTCCCCTAATCCTTTAACCCATGTCTATCTCCTCATTTTGTATCTTGGCTTTCCCACCGACTGTTCCATCTCGTGCAGGGGGGTTGAGAGCTATTTTGACAGATCAGAATAAACTGATTGTAACTGTAGGAGGCGTAACAGCTCTTGCAGCAGGGGTCTATACTACACGGTAGTGCACTTTAATATGCTCATTTATTTTTTGGCCATTATGAGAATGCTGTTGCAAAATTATGCACAATAGGATAGTAGCTTTCCATCTATTTGGCATGATTCTTTTTAACATTTTGAATGGCGGTGACATTTGAAGGTTGTAACTAATACTATATTAAGTACTATACTACTGCAGTACTACTTATAGCAATTTACGATTTGTTCCTTTTTTATGCATGGAAAATAGAGAAGGAGCTAGAGTAATTTGGAGCTATGTGGACCGAATATTGGGACAACCATCTCTGATAAGAGAGTCTTCCCGAGGGAAATATCCATGGTCTGGCCTATTTTCACGTGCAATGCGCAATATTTCAGGTGCTAGCAGAAGATTGAGCTCCCAGAGTGGGAACGGGTTTGGTGATGTTATTCTGCATCCTTCTCTTCAGAAAAGGATTCAACAGTTGGCCAATGCAACAGCTAATACGAAAGCACACCAGGCACCATTTAGAAATATGCTCTTTTACGGACCACCAGGAACTGGGAAAACAATGGCTGCAAGGGAACTTGCCCGTAAATCTGTAAGATATCTTGACTTCATCTCTTATCAGATTAGTTCTGTTGACAGTTGGCTTTTCAAATTTCCGACTAAATGCACTAATGACTCATAATTAGTGATTGGAAAGTATTTCGGGGATCTGAGCATATTGTTATTATTATTCTTTATATCTCGCGAAGTTAGGAGAATGTACACATTTGTAAAGTTATTAACTGAACTTTTGAGGGGGTTTAGAAAGATAGCATATTATTTATCCTACTCTTGTAGGAGCTTAATTACTATTATCTGGCTACTTTTCCTTATATATAGGGCCTTGACTATGCATTGATGACCGGAGGAGACGTTGCCCCTTTGGGCTCTCAGGCTGTCACAAAGATACACCAATTGTTTGATTGGGCGAAGAAATCCAATAGGGGTTTGCTGCTTTTCATTGATGAGGCAGATGCATTCTTGTGCGAGTAAGTTCGGTTCTTACGTGCATGCAATTTTTTCAAAAAAAATCCAATCATTTTTAACCAATCATTTTTTTAACTCAATTTCACTATCCTCAATATTATCAATATAATTAAATAATGTCAATCAGTCATTCTTACACATCACATCAACTTTAATTCACTATTCATCCACTCACATAATGTTAATTAATCATCATTTCACATAATCTCTCTCCTACTTTTACATCAAATTAATTTTATTTATTTTATTTTAAATATTATCATAATATAAACACAAAATCCCACTAACAAACAACTATACCGCCTTTTTCAAAATTAACTATAATTAACAACAACAACAACAACAATAACAAAGCCTTTAGTCCCAAGCAAGTCGGGGTAGGCTAGAGATGAAACCCAAGAGAACTATCGATAAGAGAAACACAAAAAGGGCTTGAAGAACTATCGATAAGAGAAACCCAAGAGATTAGAGCAAAAGTCACGGTTCTGGTACGTTGATTGCTAGCCTCCAAGCGCTCCTATCCACCGCTAAATCCTTGGAGATATTCCAATCTTTAAGGTCTCTCTTAACCGACTCTTCCCAAGTGAGTTTAGGCCGACCTCTACCTCTCTTTTCGTCCTCGAACCGATGTAGAACTCTCCTACGCACCGGTGCATCAAAATTAACTATAATTAAAAAAAAAATCTAACAAAACCAAAAAATCTTATGTTCAAACATCTATGTACCCTGTGGCCTAGGATTTGGACATCTTTTTTTTTGTTTTTTTCGAAACAATAGATTAAATAGACTAAGAAATATTTACAATGTTCGGCGGCGTACTAGCCAATATGGACCAAAAGGTCATACAATGAGGATCATCCGCAGATGTCCTAAATCAAATAACAACCAAACCTCAATTAAAAACGGCAGAGACAACGCTACTGGAACCGCTTTTAACCGACCACCAAGAGCAAAACAAACCCAGCACTAAGCAACCTACTCAAGCAGTTAAACATAAAGACATCTTTTGTTTGGTGGTTTTCTTAAAAATCTAAAAATTTTCAGGCGGAACAAAACATACATGAGTGAAGCCCAACGAAGTGCACTCAATGCACTTTTATTCCGGACAGGCGACCAGTCAAAGGACATAGTCCTTGCCCTTGCCACCAACCGCCCGTCAGACCTCGACTCAGCTGTGGCTGACCGTATAGACGAGGTCCTCGAGTTCCCTCTTCCGGGCCTTGAAGAGCGGTTCAAGCTCCTCAAGCTCTACCTTGACAAGTACATTGCGCGGGCTGGGAAAAGGCAATCGGGCCTCTTCTCAAAATTCTTCGATAAGCAACAAAAGGAGATCGAGATCAAGGGTCTAAGCGATGATGTCATCAAGGAGGCGGCTGATAAGACGGAGGGGTTTTCGGGTAGGGAGATTGCAAAGCTTATGGCAAGCGTGCAGGCGGCGGTGTACGGTAGTGAGGATTGTGTGCTGGATGCTAACTTGTTCCGGGAGGTGGTGGATTATAAGGTTGCTGAGCATCAGCAGCGGAAGAAGCTTGCTAGTGGTGGTGAAGAGGGAAGTCATTGAAGATTATTTTCTTCATTTTTTTTTTTCTGGGTAGTATTTGGTGAGGATTTTTTTTGTATTCTTTTGCGGAATTATGAGCAGGCCAGAAATTTTTTTGATGGGGTTCTATTTATTTATTTTTGATTTTTTTAATCAATTTAAGGAGTTTTGCACGGAAAAGAAAGAAATTGAAGCGACCATTATCTCGGATTTTTTTGGTAAAAAAATGATATTTAGATACTCGATTTAGTAAATACTGATAAGAGTACTACACCGGTACTATTTTTTGTTATTTTTATAAAAAAGAGAAACTTTGATTTAAATTTTAAATAAATCTTAAGAAATTGTATTATTATTTACATTTGAAAGCCAAAATTGCATTAAACTTTCCGTTTTAATCACAACTACCACACAATGATAATTAAAGACATCAATTTACTATTATTTTGAGAATGCTTCTAAAGATCATGAAACTTGTGCATTGTATATAATTCGTTCTAAAAAAAATTTGTTTCCTTTGAAAACAGAGATGTAAAAGTGTAAAACTNNNNTCAGATCATTTTATGTCCTTGTTCCAATCTTAAGGTTGCTCAAGAAAGTAGCCCCCAAATCATTCATAGCATTTAGTATTTCATCTGCCTGTAACTCCTCGCCAACCGACCTGTAAAGGTGAACTGCAGCACTCGAGAGAAACCAATTCGGCCTCATAAGACGACACTCACTTTCATAAAAGCGTATTCCTTGTTCAACGAGCCCAAAATCCACATAAGTTCTGAGCATCATCGATTTGGATTTGAGGTCGGGCATCAATCCGGTAGAAATAATTTTCCGGTATATCCTCTCAGCTTCGCCTATAGATCCCGATTTAGCATAGGCCAAGATCAAGAAGTTGAAATGACCACAAGACACAGAAATTCCTTCCCTCTGCATGGCATCAATGACCTTTTCTGCTTCGGAATATTGGAATCCCCTAGTATAGGCTCGAATTAAGAGAAGGTAGGTTTGAGAATTGGGCCTGCAATTGTTCTTTTGCATGCTTAGCAGTAGCTTTTCTGCTTCCTTGTATAGTCCATCAGCAGCATATACATTAATCATGATGTTGTAGCTCATCTGCACATTGTGACACCAGAATCGAGTATTTTATGCACACGAGACATTTGAGCAACTACTCAGCATTATTTTCTTCTTTTCTTGTTCTCTTTTACTTTTGTGTGGGCATATAGTAGTACTACGATAAAAACGAGCTTGGCAAATATGGTGCTCGTGAACTTCAGTTATGCAATTGCAAGCTCTCGTATTTTAAGTTTTTCCGTAAAATAAAGGTGACTCGTGCCCTTTGTGGCCTGTATCAGAATAAAGAATGTCTCGGACAGATTTTAACGTACCTGCCCAGGTTTTATCCCATCCTCCAGCATTTTATTGAACAGAGCGGCTGCTTCATTAACTTTGCCTATAAATTTCAAATAAATAAATAAATACTTTCAAGTATAGAAAAAAAAAGAAGAACTAACAGTGCATATTGATTATCGAGTATAACATTTGAGAACATTGTTGATATGGTAATTACAGTTTTTTTTGGCTTTTAATTGGCTTCAAGTGAGAATAAGTTTCTTTGAAACAGATTGACCATTGGGGAACAAAATGAGATTCTTTAGCTAGTTCTTCTTTAAGTAAATTGAAATGCAACTCCCAACTAAAGTAAGAAAACGCCGTACCAGCTTTCCCATAGTGGCATATCATATTAGTATATGTTTTCTCATCCAAAGTCATACCCATGCTTTGCGCCAATTCAAACATCTCAACCACTTTGTCAAAATTTGTTAACTTTCCATACACACTGCAAAATCACGAGTCACGAACTCCCAATCAAACCGATGCAAAAAATCTCTATATTCACATATAGTTGAAAATTTTAATTATGATAAGAATCTAAAGTATTGCCTGACCTGATCATGGTGTTATATGTGTAAATTGATGGAGAGATTTTCAAGTTAAGCATGCGCTCGTATATGCTGATAGCAGAACGAAGTTTGCCTGGTGGGCCACCAAAATGTTAATTCATTATTTCCCCTAGATGCTTGGAGAATAATTTTTGAAAATTCGAAAAGGCAAAAATATAAACCTGCTTCTAATTTTGCCTTTAGGAAAGTGTTGTAAGCCACGGTGTCGAGCTCCAAATTCAAATTTAAACAGTAGCTAATAACTTTCTCCGACTCGTCATGTTTACCTGCAAATAAGTGCGAATAAATTTTCGTATAAGGGGTTGTATTAAGTTATACAAATCTGAAGCCACTTGTAGACATGGAAATGTAAAGTTTGGATAGGTCTTTAAATCTCTCGGGCAATAAGACACATCAACAGACTTCAATATTTCACTTAATTTTTCATGCTGAGCAAATTCAAAAATATATGAATTAATCGATAGTGGAGCATGATGAAAGTCAATGATTCATTCTTTGTTTCAATAGAAGTTACTGAACAAAATTTAAGGAACAATTAATTTTTACTTTTTTTTTTCTAAAAGGAAATTTAACTTCTCTCACCACAGCTTGTCAACGCTTTCACAAGTTTGCTGATTGCAACAGCACCCAGACTGTGCCCTTGCGTAGTCTGTTCTTTAAAAAACAAATATGCATTCTGTACTCTGCCACACGTTACATATGCATCGATCATCGAACTATATAGATCTTTAGCTGAGCCAAACCCATCAAAGAAGACTTCCTCAGCTTGTTTCAGCTTCTTTTGTTTCCCATACAGACTAATTATAGATGCCCTAGCAGCATCTTCTATTTTGCAACCATTTCTTATCATTAACTCGTAAAGATATACTGTATTCAACATGTCACCTGCAAAGAAAGTATCAAATACCAACTCTTAGATAACATCTTATAGCAAGAATTTGCTACCCCAAGAAAAGAATAATCTTGAGATACGAGAAGTTGACTACTCAGTCAAACCACGTCAATATGTAACAAAGAGAAAAAGCTTACTCTCTTGGGCAAATTTGCTAATCATTCTGTTGCCTACAGACTCGCCAATTTTGGTGTCGAGCAAAAGCTCAACTTTCCCTTTCATTTTCTTCTCATTTCGTGCTGCCAAACAAAGTGTAAGCATGAGCTCAACTGCCAGAGCTCCAGATTGGCCTGAGGGCTCAAAGAAATTTTCATGATCGTTTGATCCGTTACATTGTCCGTACATAACCATAAAAAATGTTCGAACAAATGGAATATTTTTAAATGTTTCTCTCACACTATACAGTACTATCAGTTGTTCCACTTCTCTTAGCATGCCTCCTTTGCAATAAACTTCCAATACTATCACGAAAAGCTCCTCATTAAAGTCAATTTGATCTTTCCTCAACTGTTCTACAAAAGCTATTGCCTTTTCGAGCAACCCAAGCCTCGCATACAAATTTAGCATATCTTTACAAGAAGTGGCATCAGCTGGCCCGGTTTTAGATATAGCCCGAAATGCATTCTCTGCAGATGCAATGTCCCCCTTTAATATACAGCATTCCAGCTGTACGATGCATGAAAATCTCGAGAAGGAAATATTTTTACTTCTCATTCGTTCCATAAGATCCGAGGCCTTGCCAAAGTTCCCGAAATTGATGTGGACTTGCGCCATTGTTGCATATGTCTTCTCATCACTAAGTTGACCCGATCTCTCGATTTCCGAAAATGTCCTCACGGCATCCTCATACAGACCCAGTTTACCATATATACGAATCATCAAGCCGTAAATAGTCTCATCCGCAATAACTCCATGCTTTTCCATTTCAGTGAAAAGCGAACGAGCATTAACATAATCTGCAGTTCTATAATACAAGGCCAGGAGTGAAGCACACGTAAAATGGCTGGGAACTTTATCGTGGGACTTCATATCTTTATAGAGATGAAGAGCTTTGTCTTTTTCGCCATTTTTGCAGTTCAAACGGATCAGAAGGCTATAAGTTGCTTCATCTGGCACGAAACCTAAATTCTTCATCTCGTGAAAAATCACCAATGCCTCCTCAACCATGCCTGCCTTCACAAGCGAGCTAATTACAACTGTATATGTAAAATGGTTTGGGCTCACTCCTTGTTCAATCATCTTTTGCCAGACATGTACAACATCTCTATGAAGTGAATTTTTTTGCAAAGACGATAGCATAAAATTGAAAACATGAAGAGGGAGCAGTATCCCTCGGTCTTGTAAGGCTGAATAAAACGAGAGCATAGCCTTGTGGCGGCCCCACCTGGCATATGAACACAACATGGTCCCACAAGCTATTTCATCAGGTTCACACCCAGCTTCAAGCATCTCCAAGAAAGTTTCCTCAGCAAGCTTGATTTTTCCAATTTGACCGTATGCACGCAGAACGACTGTGTAGGCTATAACACTTGGTCGATAGCTCAACTGTTACGGCATAAATCTATATTACACCAAATTAATTCATACAGACTATAAACAAGATTATGCAAGTGAAGAAATTTATACCCTGGGAGCACTTGGCAATAAGAATGACACAAAAATCGTTGAGTGCCAAGGAAAATGCAAAAAGGAAAAAAAAAATATATATCCATCACGGATGTGATACGCTT